GAACTGCGCCACGTCCGGCGCTCGGGTGTCCCAGCCCTTCAGCAGGCCGTCGTCCCCGCCTGTGGGGCGCCGTCACAGGCGTGAGGGCAGCGCGGCACTCAGCAGCGCCCCGCGTGGCCGGTGCGGGGCCCCAGGGCAGCTGCCAGCAGGGCGCCCAGAGAGCCATCCAGGCCGAGCCTGGCAGGAGGCTGGCACGGGCAGGGGCGGGGCCGGCGGCGGCGCATACCCGAGTACACGACGTCCGGCTGCCAGTAGTTGAAGGCGGCCACCCAGGCCTCGAAGTGGTGGGCCTTCCACGAGGCCTCTTCCTGCAGGCCGGCGTCGCCCTCGCTCACCTTGAGCAGGTGGAGGCGCCCCTTGGAGTCACTGCTGACGACCCGCAGGGGCTGGCCGCTGGTGCTGTGGGCGGGCAGTGGGCGGGCTGAGCCACCCTCCGGCCCCGGGGGGGTGGGGGCCTCGTGGGCTTCTCCGGGGAGACCTGCCCTGTCGGCGCGGGGCGCAGCTCGCCGCCCCCCAGCCCCGCCCTCACCTGCCAGCTCTCCCGGTGGACCAGTCCAGCGACAAGGCCAGGCACTGCCCCTCGAGGACGAAGCGGGACAGCACCTGCATCGTGTACATACCCTGCCCAGGGAAGGCTCCGATGGGAGGCGCCGCCTGGCCTCAAGAGGCCCCCGGGGCTGGCCAGCCTGGCCCTCTCGCTGGGCAGCAGAACCGGCCCGCGGGCACCTCCACGCAGCCCCGTGGGGGGCGCAGCTCCCCCACCGTCCTGGCCTCCCTGGCCCTGGCCAGCTACAGCGCAGGTGCCCGCGGCTGGCCAGAGGGAGGCCCAGTGCACAGACGCCTTCGACAGCTGTGACCAGCGCCGGGGGGGGGGGGGGCGCGACTGGCTGCGGCTCCCACCGCGGCGTGGCCCGGGCCGGCCCCTCACGCACTGACCTGGCCCTCCGCCACGTGGAGCAGCTCCACGGAGCCCCCGGCGTCCGCCACGCCCAAGAGGACGTGGCCCCCCACGGGGACGTGGCACCTGAGGAGAGGACCCGCGTCAGGGCAGGCCGGCGCCACCTGCAGGGGGCGCGGGCAGCGGCCACCACCAGACGCACCACTTCATGTCCAGGATGGCCGCCGTGTCCCGTCTGCGGACCTCGGTCAGGGGGCCGGCAGGCCCGTCCTCGCTGAAGCTGTACAGGTAGAGGCGGCCCAGGCGGCTGGGGGCCTCCTCGCAGCACTGCCCATCCTGCGGGAGGGGACGTGTCCTCTGGGGCCGGCAGAACCCAGACCACCGCCCGGAGGCGGC